GCAGAGTTTGACTCAGAGGGAAAGCTTGACTCCCTGTTGATTGTAAGGACCATTTCATCTGACTATGGGACCTCTGGGATGGCTAGAAAAGCTCGTCTCTCCAGGTTTTCTTCTTCTTCCTCTTCTCCTTTTTCTTAAAAGTACAAATTAGAGCTTCTAATTTGTAACCCGGCAAAATTCAATAAACTAATGCAGCTGACCGCCACGATTGGTCTAAGGAGTTTTGTTTATGATAGGAACTCACTGCCGTAGAACTCCCTCTGTAGGATGGATGGATAGACAGATGGACCATAGATGCCACAGTTTAGCAGAGCCAAGATTAATTTACACTCTTTAGATATCTTTTCAAATCCCCCCTCCCTCTCTTTCTCCTCCTGGTTCGGCCTCTGCCATCCCCCAAGCGATCTGATTCATCCCATGTTAATCTTTCATCGTGTTGATGAGCAGCCAGGATCACCTCATTCCCAGTGCACGTCTGTTACCCCAGGATCCACGCAGAGCCGGGTGTGATAGTGGCACTTGCCTACAGAGAGAAAGAGAGGGGGGGGGAGGGAGAGAGACAGAATACAAGTTCCTGGGTGCGTGTATATGCATATGCATGCTTGTGTACATGCATGTGTGTGTGCATAGAGGCAGAGCCCAAGTTCCTGTGTGTGTATGTGTACATGCATATGCATGCATGTGCACATGTATGTGTGTGTGTGCACAGAGGCAGAGGGCAACCTCGGATCTAGTTCCTCACTAACTATCCATCTAGGTGTTTGAGACGGACTTTCACACTGGCCTGAAGTTCACCAAGTAGGCTAGACCGACTGGCCGTAAAACCCTGGGAATCCATCCCTCTCTGCCTCCCCAACAGCAGGATTACATGCACACACCATAGGCTTGGCCTTTTTAGGTGGGTTTTGGGGTCAGATTCAGCCCTCATGGTTGTACAGTGAGCACTTTACCGACGGAGTCGTCTCCTCGGCCCCAGCTGTGGTAGTTATGAAAAGGGAAATCTAAAAGACGTTGGTGGGAAATCGGAGTGTGTGCTACCCTAATGCGAACAAGAGGAAGGAGGCATCCTCATCGCTTCTGCGGGGTAGGTGAGTCCAATGAGGACTTGGAACGACTCAGGCGCTGTCTGCCCTCGATCTGTGCTGTGTAGACAGCAGGCGACTCCAGAGAGACCGATGCGGCAGCCCAGGAGGAAACCACGAGCCTCACCTCACTCAGAAGCTGAGTGACTGTGGCTGGAAAAGTCTTCACGCTCTCCACCTGGAAACAGCCGTGGGTGGAGAGCCACTGCGAGCTGGTGAGAGAGCTTTGGTGTGAGCAGGAATTGAGCTTTGGTAACAAGCACCAGATATGACTAATTGTTTTTTAACTGTTAGGGCACTTTTAATGTTTTTAAAGTGATCATATTACAGCTAAAACAAAATAATTATACCTAAGCCCAAATTTGTTATTGTCTAGACTAATGGCACTGACAAACTAAACTTTCCAAATCTCAGTGTGTGGGGCAACAGCGCTTCCCTCGGGGTAAGACAGCAGGCTCCTCAGCCACAAAGAACTTTCTATTAGAGAAAGGAAGGGGAGAAGAGGGAGAGGGAGTCGCAGAAGAGAATGAAGGGATTCTTCTCTTAGCCAAGTAGACAGCTTTGAATTTAAAATAAGATCTGTGTTAAATAGTTTTGTCATGTGAGGGACAAGTCATATGGTTCAATCAGAAGAAAATCCCCCCCATCCCTGAGGCTAGCCAATGTTCCCCTCCCACTTTGGAACAGTTTGGTGTGCTATCCCCAAAGCTGTCTAGTTTGGAAAATTAGATCTTTAATTAAGAGGTAACAATTAACTATGAGCATGTATATCTATGAGAGAAACCGTTTTCCCCTAAGTTAGTTAATTTTCCTTTCTCTGTGATAAAAGTACTCTCACAGAAGCAGCTTGAGAGCAAAGGCTTTAACCTGGGTCACAGCTGGAGTGCACAGTCCATCATGGCAGGGAAGGGATGAGACAGCTGGTCTGTTGCTCCCACAGTCAGGGAGGAGGCAGAGAGACATGAATGCTGCCTCAGCCCACTTCCTCCTTTTAGTTCTAGCACCGAGGTCCATGCAATAATGACTCCTACAGTTAGGTTGGTCTTCCCATCTCATTTTACCTAATCTAGTTAATCTCCCAGAGGCATGCCGAGAGGCCTGTCTTCTAGGCCATTCTAGATCCTGGGCACCCGATGGCTGCGGAGGGAGGGTATGTTTCTGTGTGTGCCCGCTGGTAGGCTGTCTGTGCTCCAGTGCGTGGACCCAGACCCAGGCATGTTATAGACACCACCAGTTAGACTCAGTGAGTTATAAAGATGGCAAAGAAGAGAACATGAAGTTGGGGCTTAGCAAGGAAATGGAGGGATGGATATGATCTTGATATTGTACACATATGTGATAGTCTCAGAAAATAAATAAAAAATGCAAAAGACTGCGTTTCAGTCACATGTAATATTACTGTTTTGTAGTCATTTATAATAAAAATAATTAAAAGAAGGAAACAATGCAAAATTTCAATAGTAGTAAAATAATGACAAGCTTCTGTGTAGTTGAACAAAACATTTTCTCTACACCCTTACAAGATATTTCATATAAGTTGTTGTTTACTTTCTGTTAAAAATATAGACAAAAATACACATGGACCCAGGATTATACAAGGTCAAGATCATCGTTTTCTTCTACGTCACATGAAAAACCTGGTCCTACGGGATGGTTTTCAAGGGCGATAACATGCACAGAGCTGCCATTGCCTCTGATATTGGTGCCCTCTTTGGAAATCCCACCAAAGGGAATTCTCCTAAGTATGCTTTACAGTCAACTTTTCTTCAAAAATATACTCCAAAATCCAATAGAAATACTGTAAATGACAGCGACTTAGTCGTTTATCACTCTCGGATGTTGTAGTAGTTGCTTTTCTATTGCTGTAATAAAACATCATGACATAGGCGACTTACAGAAGAGTTTGCTTTGACTCTCAGTTTCAGAAGATCTTTGGAGTCTGTAATAGCAGGGTAGAGATGGTAGGTAGACATGGCAGCTGGGGAAGGAAGCCGAGAGCTCACTCATGAATTGTAAGCTTCAAGCGGAAAGAGCAATGGAAAGTGCTCAAGGTTTTAACTCCTAAAGCCTGACCTCACTGACCACATTTCCCTCAGCAAGGCCATAGCTCATAAATCTCAAATCAGTGGGGCTGATTGGGTAACGCTCAAACAATGTGTTTGCACTTGCTAGCAACACTAACACAAAATCTTAACTTAAAATGGCAAATTAGAGATTTATATTACTTCCAAAGCTTACTTTTTGGAATGACCATCCATAGGATTAGTATGATATCTTTCGTGTGTATAAAGGTGCTCACGTTTATTTTATTTGAGAATGATGCATCAGCAGTTCAGGAACACAGGAACACATGCTTATAACATGGTAAACGCAAGACTGACCGAATCATAACTGCTTCTCTTTCCTGCTTCTGCCTTGCTTTCCAGAAATGTCCACCCAGATATTTGACTCTGGTACCAAAGATATCTTTCTTTTGGCTTCATGCCAGCATATTCTGACTATTTTTAAAGATTTGTTTTATTGTTTTGTGTGCGTGTGCACGCACACATGCATTCATGAGTTCATGTGTACCTCATGAGTTCATGTGTTCCTCATGTGTGCAGACACCTGTACGACTAGTAGAAGGTGTCAGATCCTACGGTGCTGGAGGTAGAGTTGGTTGAGAGCTGCTGTGTAGGTGCTGAGAACTTAACCCAGGCCCTCTGCAAGATCAATATACTCTCTTATCCCTCAAACCACTTCTTCAGTCCTGTAAGCAGGTTCTGATGAGCCAACAGGACTACTATGCTGGTTACCGAGGTTCATTCCCCTCTTTATATCATCTTGATAGTTTTGTTAAAAATTAACAGACCAGATGCATGCATAAGAACCTATTTCTAGACCCTGTTTCCAGTGTTTATACATGGTCTTCTTGTATAGTATACAACGGTTTCACACAGACAGCTTTAGGAGTCCTGGTATTGGGCTTGGTAAATACTCTAGTTTTGTTCTTATAATAAAAACTGTTCTGTACTCTGTGCTCTTTGCATTGCCATATGAGTTTGTTGAAATCTGAAAAACAGCTTGCTGGAATTCCCATTAGGACTGGATCCAAACTATAAATGAATTGAGCAAAACCCAAGATCTTTAACAATATTTGAGTCTTTGCAATTCATGAACACAGTTGATTTTTCCATTAACTTTGATTGTCCCAAAGACAAGAATGGACACCTGCAAGCACACGTGACCCACAATTCACATGGGTAATATTAATATTAACTCATATCAATTGAGTAATTAGTATTCACTGTTCATTTCATTGGAAAGATTGGATGTGAAAAGAAGTGGAGAGGAAAAGAGAGTAAATGATTTCTTACAAACACGTCAGTAAGTGACATAGAAGGGAATTTGAACCTCATTGAACTGACTCTAAAGCCTGACTTTTTCCATTCACTGCTAGTCATAGCTCAGCTGGATCACCACTCGTTTCTGAAAACCTCCCCCAAATTCAGATCATTTCTGAACAATTATGCATTTCAAATTCTTGCTGCAATGATAATAACCAGCTACAGCAAGGAAGAAGACGGCGTTAAACTGTGCAGAGACATAAGGGCAGTAGAGATTAAATTATACTTCCAAATTGCACTTGAGAATAGAGCGTGCCAATTATATCCTCTCTGCAGCTAGCCTGCCTGTCACACTTGGGATTCCGGTTAATGAGCAGCATAAACTTTTTGCACTCCATTGCAAAACAAAAGTAAAAACACTTTCTCCCACAAAAAGATACAAGAAAGGGTAATTCCATGTATACATTGTGCAAACATGTCTAGGAGTTGGAAAAATAAGTGTCCAAAATGGTCTGTTTTGTTTTGGATGTAGTTTGTGGGATACCCTGTGAGATCTACTTATTTGACAACTTTAAAAAGTGTTTATTTTTTCAAAGGGGAGCATGCACACAGTCCCTCACTGCCTCATATTGTGTAGTTGAGGTCCCCACATTTGGGGAAATGGCAGGGGTCAGGACATCCAGAGTGCAATGGGTAAGCCTTGCCCTGGGAAAACCATCTTTGTGATCATGGAATCTCCCCTGCTGGATAAGCATTCATGCTTCTAGACAATAAAAATAAAGCAATAAATTAAAACAAATCTCAAGTGATTGTAATTAAAGTTAGCCAAAGTTCTGGTATTCCCGGTGTAAGTAGTAGAACCAATGTTAAATGTCTCAAAGGAATTCATGAAGAAAGGGTTGCAGTTCAAAGTCTCTTCCCAAGCATTTGTTTTCAGGGTGTATTTTTATTTTATGCGGACAAGTGTTTTAACTGTGTGTTTGTATGTTCACCCCACGTGTCTACCTGGTGTCCTCAGAGGCCAGAAGAGAACCCCTGGTATCCTGGAACTGGGGCTGCAAATGGTTGTAAGCTACCACGTAGATTCTATGAACCAAACGTGGGGCCTCTGCCAGGGCAGCAAGTAGCGCCAAATGGTTGAGCCATTCCTCCAGCCTGGCACTTTTGAAAAGTGCATGTTTGGTGGCTCGTGAGATGGTTCAGCGGTTGAGAACACTGACGGCTTTCCCAGAGGACCCAGGATTCAGTTCCCAGCACCCACATGGCAGCTCACGACTGTCTGTAACTCCAAGATCTGACACGCTCACACAGACATACATGCAGGCGAAACACCAACACACATTAAAAACTAAAAAGGAAAACACATGTATGAGCGGGTGCCAGTTGTGTAAAGATACACGTGTGTGTGGCCACCTGGTGCACACGCATGCCTGTGAGGGCCAGAGGACTGCTTGTGATGTGTCACACTCAGAGAATTCAGTGGGACAAGGTCTCCCATGGGCCCAGAGCTCACCAATTAGCCTAGACAGGCTGGCCAATGAACTCAAGGGATCCCTCTGTCTCTGATCTCCCCCAGGACTAGGATTGTGGGTGCCACATGGATTTGGGGGTTGACTCAGTTCCTCAAGAGTGCAAGGCAAGTGTTTTTCTAAGCAAGCCACCTTCCAGCCTGGCACCCATGCCTGATGTGTTTGTGCTCACATTACCCCTCAGGGCCCCCCAGGGCTTTTTCTGTCCTCTGGCTTCCGGGAGTCAACAGCCCTCTATTTTCCAGCTTTTGATCGATGATCCAAGACTCCGGAAGCCTTATATTTTCTGAGTTCGCATTGTCTGCAGAGGTGAGTATAACGGGCCTGGGAGCCAGGTGAACGCTCAGTGTGTACCCCACACAGTGTTTCCAGCTCCATGCCGCCGGATGGAATGGTCCCCTCGTGATCCACCTCACCAGGCACTTTCCAGCTCACAGACAAAGCCCGTAGGGATGTTTGGTGGGAGCGCAGGGAGTAGGCTGCTGGAGGTGTGGGAGAGAGAAGACAGCAGGTGCCCCAGTCACACTTCTTCAGACGGCCTCCCCTCCCCACCTGCCTCGGAGAAAGGCCGCCCCACAAAGGGCGTGGCAGGGAACCCGAGACTTGCAGGGGAGGGTCATGAGTCTGGGGCCCCGAGGAGGGCAGATGGCTGGAGTCTGCTGGGCTGGGAGCCGGAGGGTGACCCTAGGCTGATGTGTCGCTTCCCTCCGCGCTAGCAGGACCTGACTCCTCCCCGCGGGTCTCCGCTGTTCCCACCGGTGCCCCCTCGGCGCGCCTTGGGTCGCAGGTGAGCCTAGCCCAGTGCTGCCCCGGGGCATCAGGTGTTGTGGGAACCTCGCCGGCGGCGCTCAGGGAGGGAGCCCGATGTCTCCAGCCTCAGGTGACACAAAGAGGGAGGGCAGGGGACCTGGACACCTGCGCTAGCCATGGAGGGCGCACAGAGGGGAGCAGAGTGCGAGATGCACCGGTTTGGCGTCACTGGGGCTCCACCATGGACCACAGGTCAGTGGGGTTCGTGGCTAGGGTGGGAACACCCCTCCCTGTGTCACCTCCGCAAGGTTTGGAGGTTGCAGCAGAGTCCTGCCTGTGGATGCTAGCTGCTCTTAAGTTGGGCCTTTCCTTTATAAAGGCGGTGTCCGGGCCATAGAAACGGGAGCAACCGCAGGGACTCTGCGCTAGTCTGGACTCCAGCAGGTTGCAGAAGCCAAGATCACAGGGTGTGGTGCAGCAGGCCAGACTTCGCTTTCTCGCTAGGAAGCAGCACCACAGAGGTAGTCCCAGGGCATGGAAGAAGAAAGAGGAAGGAGGGGCCGCAAGGAAAATAGAGCAGTTTTCATTGTGCAGGAGCCAAGGCTAAGGCTCAGTGAGGACCTAGTGAGCGGCCGGAAGTCATAGACTTGTCAAACTGTAGAACCAGGGGGGGAGGGAGGGAGGGAGGGAGAGAGGGGGGAGGGAGAGAGGGAGGAAGGGAGGGAGGGAGAGAAGGAGGGAGGGAGGGACGGAGGGAGGGAGGGGGGAGGGAGAGAGGGAGAGAGGGAGGGAGAGAGAGAGACAGGGGTCTGGTGAGATGCAGCAGTTCCGAAGAAGCAGTTTATGGCAGTATCGGGTGCTTTCTCCAATTACACATTCCCTCTCTATCGCTACATTTCTGCAGCTCAACCCAACTTAGCCCCTAGCTGCTGTGGATGAGTCCGTCTGAGTCAGTCTAGGGTCAGCACCGGGACACCTGAGGTCCCCTGTGCAGGGCTGCTGTCAATATGTGGTCAGCCAGTGTGGCCCCCATGGATTGTAAGCTTAGCAGTCAGTGCAGAATGAAAGCCGGGCTTCTGGAAGAACTCGAGCAGTGCTTTGAATAAATTAATGGTGGTTGGCTGTCTTCTCGTTGTTCCTGTAGTTTACTATTACATGGTGTATGGCTAGTGTGCTTAGAGTTTAATTTTCTCTGTATCATAATGGGAAAGGGACTTCAAATGAGTAAGTAGTTCACCAAACACTTTGCTATCAGTAAATTCATTGCTGTAGTTATTCATATGGAATCACCAGCAGAAAGTGTTTTAGGTCTCTCCTAGCCAGGATTTCTATTGCAGTGATAAAACACCATGACCAAAAGTAACTCAGGGAGGAAAGAATTTATTTCAGCTTACAACTCTCAGGTCACAGGCCACCACGGCGAGACGTCGGGGCAGAGGCAGGAACGGAAGCAGAAGCCATCGAGAAAGGCTGCTTGTTGGCTTGTCCCTTAGGGTTTCCTCACCTCTCTCTCTCTCTCTCTCTCTCCTTCCTTCCTTCCTTCCTTTCTCCCCCTTTTATTTATTCTTTGTGGCTTTCACATCACACATTCCCATCTCAGTCACTTCCCTGTCCCTTCGTATCTGCCCTCAGCCCTTGCAACCACTGCCCCCTAACAAAGTAAAATAAAACCTAAGAGAAAAAAGTGAGAAGGAAGAATGTAGTTTTGTCATGGAAGCTGTAGATACCCGGATATCTTTACTTGGAGTGTCCATTGCAAAGAGGTCTGTTTCAAGGCCTCTGTTTGTGCTACACTATCTTTACTTGGAGTGTCCATTGCAGAGAGGTCTGTTTCAAGGCCTCTGTTTGTGCTACACTATCTTTGCGGGGCCCTCGCTGGGACTCCTCTTGTTATCCTGTTGTTGCCCTTTGTTGTGGAATCGTGCAGCTTTGGTCTGCAGAACCGGTCTCTTCACGTGCTCCAGCCGATCACAGATGGGGTGGATGCTGGGTGGGCCAACGCATAACCCTGGTTCTGGGCCTGGGTAGTTGCAGGGTTGGTCAGCCGGCCAGCTCTCCCTTGTCCTCACCACCAGGGTGCGCTCTCCTGCACTGCCTTGATGATTTCACCCCTTGAAGCAGTGAGCAAGGGACCTGGCCAGTTCTCCTGCTTTCAAGTCCTCAGGGGTGGACCCCCCACACCTTCAGGGTCAGCTCTCCCTCGATGCTCAGGGGTGGCACAGGGGCCACTCCCCTGAGTTCGGCTGCTGATGACAGGCAGGACCAGTTCTTGAACTCTCATGATCTCAGGGCCAGCTCTCCTGCCTCAGGTGTTGATGGGAAGGGAAACCCCTCCCCCCAGCCCGTGCACCACATGCACATGACAGATGAGTAATGGGCACAGCTCTCCCATGCCCACTGCGGGGCTGGCTCACGCCTCTGCCAATAGGCTTGGCTGTATTGTGCTGCCCAGGTGAGGTGTGGGGCTGCCTCGAGTGTTGCAGCTGGGGGGGGGGTTGGAGGATGGGGGGTGGAGGGGTGGGGATGGGGGTGCAGGCAGCTCTCCTGCATTCTGACCTCAGGGCCAGCTCCCCCTCATGGCACCACATGACAGAGGAGTGACAGGGAGAGGGGAGATCAGCTTGCTTTCTTGCATCACCCAGGACCATCTATCTACCCAGAGATGGCCACCCCTCCCACAAGTGGGCTGAACCTCCTACCTTAAGATTAAGAAAAAGCCCTAAGGACATGCCTACAGGACGATGTCATAGAGGCAGGTCCTGAGTTAAGATCCCTCTTCCACGGCATGACTGCATTGTGTCAAGTGGATGAAAACTAACTAGTTTGAACTCCCACAGACATAAAGGAGAGAAAGAAGCCATCAGTTCTTAGGATTTTCACTCAAGAATACCTTACCTCCTTCAAAAGGGTAGACTGCACAGGGCTGGGTATGTGACTGAGCAGTTAGAGCGCTTGTTTCATATGAACAGTGCTGTGGGTTCTACCCCCAGCATGGCAAAAACAAGCAAATGCTGTCTAAAACACCCCCACTGCTTTTTAAAGTTCGTTTTATCATGCTTTTTTCTCTCCTTTATGCCTTTACTCAAGAATTATTATATACGCTCATGTTTTGAGGTGCCTTGTGACACTGGAGGAAAGCCACACTTTAATGCATGCCGGTATGGTTTTATTTGGAAGGAACTGACTGCATTGGTTACATAGTAATATGTTTTGTGCATTATTGTCTTCACTCAGCATGGCCTTATGAATCTTTCCATTCATTAATCAGGAGTTTAGAGTGTTCCCCATGACTGGCTTTTATAGCCCAAATCTACATTTCAGGAATGTTGGGTTTGCGGAGAATGTTGTAATCCATGTCCAGGGTGTGATTCTAGACTTGGAAAGCAGTAGGTCTGATTTATCAGGTGTACAAACGTAGGCTAAACTCCTCCCCCTTTGTTGCTGAGTACACGGCATTATGGAACCATTAAACCCAGACGGGCTTTCTGTTCCGTGTGGAAGGACTCTACTCTCTTGGTGAGTGGGGGGATTTTATTTGAATGGGTTTCCATAGTATCACTACTAGTCAGAGGGGAAATACCAAGTAACTCCTAGTCTCTGCAGAGATGTATTCCTTTTTCTGAAAAAGCTGCTTTACCCCTTTCAAAGAGGCAAAAGGAATAGTATGTATGCATGCTTCAGATGGTAAAATGTGTTGGCTAAGGGTAAGCAAATTCAGGTATTGGGCCATTTGGGAACTAGGCTGCAGTGGAGGGCTGCCTCCCCCTGTGTAGCAGAGCTCGGACATGGAGGCCCACACAGTCCCTAGAAATCTCGCCGGTGTTAGAGAGCCTGCCTGCTTATACTCTATGTTAAGGCCTTATTCGCACTTTATTTAATGTTTGTTGCAATCTTCCGAAGATAGATACTATAATTTCCAGGACTGAGGCTCTATCTGGACTGAGTGAGTTGGGGCAAGTCATAGAAGTATCAAGATTGAAACTGGTTCTTGGTTCTTATAAAACCTATTCATTGATTAATAATTGCATGGAAGCTTTTGTTTCTCCCCAGAGAGGAAAATGAATGATCATATCCACGTGAAAATCTGCGAATCATTTCAGGGTCCATTTACTCTCTGAAGTCCTTATTCATCCTCTCAGGGCCTGATCTTTGCAATGACTGTATCTGGTACCCAGTGAGACAGAAAGCACACACATACCACATACAACACATACAGCCATGCGTGTAAATGCAATCTCTTACTAATAGGAGCAGAGCTTGAATCTGCTAACTTTCAACTAGGCGAGAATTCACTGGCGTGGTTGAAACCAGCTGGAAACTGACATCCTCCGTTCTAACCAACGCTCATCTAAGATGGTGTGGGCTACGGGGCAGCTCTATGGACACTGGGGTAGCCATGCAAGCTTTCCTGGACATGCTACCCAAAGGACTTTTGAATCTGGGGAGGCATAGCTTTACCACCGCCAGCTGCAGCAGGCTTGAGAGGACCCTTAACCCTTCGGGTACTTCTATCGGGGCGCAGCTGGCTCTGATATGGAAAGGAATCCCAGGACTACCTAACGTGGGGCCGAGTGGGAGTTTATTAATGACATTTTAATACATTTTTAAAGCATGGGGGCGAATGAGAAAGAGAGGTGGTCCAGAAGGAAGAGTAAGGCGTCGTGTGCATGGGCGCGGGATTCTCAAGAGAGGTACGAGCCTCATGGACCGTTTTGGTGGCTTTCAAGCCACATCTCCAAGCATTGCTGGGAAACTTCCTTTTTTCCACCCACTTTGATAATTAGGATGACAGATGGTTCCAGAGATATTTGGGATGGAATTATAATCTAATAAAGCAAACCGAAGAGGCACTAGGGTCGTGCAAGGGGTTTGTAAAAGTCCTTTTCCTGTTAAGGGGGTTTCCCACTGAGAGTTCTAGAAAACTGCAGGTGTAGCATTGGAAAGGGAGGGAGGCCTTAAGCAAATGTTAATCGTGGTAGAATATTTGATTCATAGCTGGCGAGAGGCTTGAACCAAGCTCAGAGCCAGGAGCCACTCCTTTCAGTGTCCCCCGATTTCCTGTCTTTCTTTTCTGTCTCGCTGACAGAGTCCCTTTGATGTGGGCCCCTTCCCTTCCCCGCTGAGTGGAAATGTTTGGTTCCCTCCCTAGAGATGGCAAACCCTGAGGTGGCTGGAAGCTCCCACCAGGATGAAAGTCCCTGCACCTTCCACCAGAGCTCATCCCCCAGCGAGGAGCTTCTCTTAGAAGACCAGATGAGGCGGAAACTCAAATTCTTTTTTATGAATCCTTGTGAGAAGTTCTGGGCTCGGGGTAGGAAGCCGTGGAAACTTGCCATACAAATTCTGAAAATTGCGATGGTGACTGCCCAGGTAAGCATCTCCCAACACAGGTTATGTGCAAGCCTCTTTGCACAGCAGAGGTGGAGGGAGGGCCTTGTTTATGAGACGGCTTCTAACTGCATGCATGAAGACATTAAGAAAAATGGAGAGATGGCTCAGAGGTTAAGAGCACTGACTGCTCTTCCAGAGGTCCTGAGTTCAATTCCCAGCAACCACATGGTGGCTCACAACCATCTACAATTCAATCTGGTGCCCTCTTCTGGCATGTAGACAGAACACTGTATATGTAATAAATAAAAATAAATCTTAAAAAAAAAAGAAAAATAAGAAGAGACACAACTGTCCTAGTTAGGGTTTCATTGCTGTGAAGGGACACCGTGACCACAGCAACTCTTATAAAGGAAGACATTGAATTGGGGCTGGCTCACAGTTTAGAGGCTCAGTCCATTGTCATCATGATAGGGAAGACAGACACAGTGCTGGAGAAGAAGCTGAGAGTCCTACATCTCGATTCACAGGCAGCAGAAGGAGACTGTGTGCCACACTGGGCTTAGCTTGAGCCTGAGACCTCAAAGCCCATCTTCACAGTGACAGACTTCTTCCAACAAGGCCACACCCACTCCAACAAATCCACGCCTCCTAAAAGTGCCACTCCCTATGAGCCAAGTATTCAAACACATGTGTTTTGGGGACCATACCTATTCAAACCTCCACACCAACTGTAAACCCTTCTCCCTTGAACATTTGTGAAAAACTTTGGTTTTTTTAGTGTGTGTTTGTATGTGTGTGTGTTTCTCTCTCTGTGTATATGTGTTAATTTTTTAGCAATTTTTTAAGACAGGCTCTCACTATTTAGCTCTGACTGACCTGGAACTCCCTATAAAGACCAGATTGGTGTTGAACTCATGGACATCCACCTGTCTCTGGCTGCCCAGTGCTGGTATGCAAGGTGTATACCACAGCATCCAGCTCATTTTCATTTTTCATTATTAAAATTTTACTACCATAATAGTATTTAACAAATAAACAACTTTAACATTTGGATGTTAATGAAGACGTTCCTTGAGAGGTACCTAAATCTTCCACGGGTAATAGCTGACTACCAAAGTGAGGTTTTTCTTTCCTTCCTAATATTCTTGGCATTTCTTTCTCTAGAAATGACATGGATTTTTGCTGTAGGCTATCCCTTGGATTCTTCCAGGCCTGGATCATGAGAGCTGTGTGGTGGAAGAATGTGGAGTCAGCAGTAGGGGGCTGGCATTAACCTGTGGAATATGCACCTCCCTCCATTTTTGTGAGCAGGGGGCTTGCATTAACCTGTGGAATATGCGCCTCTGTTTTTGTGAGCAGGGGGCTGGCATTAACCTGTGGAATGTGCGCCTCCGTTTTTTGTGAGAAGGGAAAATTTCAATCTGTTTTCCACAGCTTCTCTTAAACACCTTTTGAGGAACCGTGTTTTGTGATTGTTGCATATACTGTTGTGGTTTATTATAAAAATGGATTCTGGGGGCTGGCAAGAGGGCTCCTCTGGTAAGGGTGCCTACACACCAAGCCTGGCAACCTGAATTTGAGTCCTAGAATCTACATGGTAGAAGGTGAGAGCTGACTCCTGTCAATTGTCCTCTGATGTTCACACATGTGTGAACACAAACAAAATAGATAAATGCCAAAACCTGGGCTTTCCTGCTGGTGAGGGGAAGCATCTCCCTTTAAAAGCAGAAGGACAAAAATGAAGGCCAAGTTTAGGTTAGTATTTTAATTTTCTGGTCTTGGTGAACACCTGTCATTGAAGGAGAGTTTTTTGTTTTGTTTTTTTTTTTTAAAGTTGAGATGGCTAATCTTAATTGCTCATTGAAAACAATCGAACAGTAAATCAAGGCAGTTGCTGGAATCATTTGAAGCTGGTGCAATTGTTACTTAGATTTCTGACCCTAGACTTGGGTGGCCACTCCCAGGACATCATGTTATGTCATCGTAACTATCCTCCACCTGGGGAAATCCTCTCTCACCTTACGGAGAAGGGTACCGATGCTTACAGTGGTTAAAAGCCTCATGGCTCACACACGGCTGCATGGAGACTCCAGAGACAGGTGCTCAGTAACCTCAATGTATCACCATGAAAACGCTCTGGCTTCTCAGTATAATACCTGGCAACTTGCACTTGGAACTTTATCTCCAGGTGATAATGCAATATGTCACAGCACTGAAAAGCTTGTTTGCGTCATTTCTATGGGGGAGCCTGTACCAGTTGGATAGAAATGCTATTTGCTTAGAATAATAATAGGCACATTTGGATGACGGCTGTGTGCCAAGTTCAATATGTACATGTGCTCATGCTCAAGTCTTTAAAACAAACTGGATCTGAGCAGTGTATCTCTGTCTCTCAGACAGTGGAGGAGCTTAGTGTGGCTGTTTCCCGGGTGATACAGGAAACTACAGCAGAGAACAGTGATGCATGGTCTTAGATTTGCACACTCACAAACTTACGTTCATATATATTCCCTCATCTTTTTAGATAATCCCCAGTAGTTATTAGAGTGGTCAAGAGGAATGTTAGTCAGTAGTTTAAGCCTTTTGGTAAGAAACATACAAAGGTGTTTAGATAAGTGTTTTGTTTTGTTTGTTTGTATTTTCAAGATAGGGTCTCAATCTATTGCCCAGGCTAGTTTGGAACTCGCTATGGAGACTAGACTGGCCTCAAAGTCCATTCTTTTGCTAGGGATAAATATTGGTCTACTACCAGAGACCCCATAGATTGCCAAGGCCTCCTCATTGATACCCACGTTCAGGGGGTCTGGATCAGTCCTATGCTGGCTTCCTAGCTATCAGTCTGGGGTCCATGAGCACCCCCTTGTTCAGGTCAGCTGTTTCTGTGGGCTTCACTAGCCTGGTCATGACCCCTTTACTTATCACTCCTCCCTCTCTGTCACTGGATTCCAGGAGTTCAGTTCATGTTTAGCTGTGGTTGACTCTCTCTCTTAATTTCTCTCCGTGCAGCTCTACTGTTTGGGGACCTTCTTTGCAGACCAGGCTGGTTTTGAACCCATGAAGGCCAACCTGCCTCTGCCTGCTAAGTGAGCCACCAGGCTTGTTGATCCATATCTGACTCTTCTGTAATCCCTCCTCAGTCCTTAGTCTGGACTGAGCACTCAAACATGGTGCACACAGGCTACTTGGTCGTTGGGAAAATGAAGGTGTCTTGGTGATGGAGGATCTCTTTCTTGGGGAAAGGAATCTCTATAACTGGGATGTTTTGCTTTTCAGCAGCTCCAAGAGCCCTCCCCAGGGTCCTGTTTTTCTCACCATCTGGCTCAGTCTCTGGAGTACAGCAGGTTTCCCAGCTTCTGTCTGTCACCACATTACCAGAACACAGTAATTGGCACCTTACAGAAAAATGGAAGGAAATGGGTTTATTTACAGTTTTGGCTAGAATTGGGAAGGAAGGAAGGGAGGGAGGGAGGGAGAGAGGGAGAAAGGAGGGGAGACAGAGAGAGATGGAGAGACAGAGAGGGACAGAGACAGAGAGAGATCTCACCTTCACCTGGCCTCTGGCAGTGTTACGGATTACAGAGAGGATGTTAACACAAGCCATGCATCTGTGGATTCTGCTGTGAGATAAATTGTCTGTGTGGGATGCTGAGACAGTCTCTAGGAGACGGTTTTTCCTCTACAGAGTCCTTCCACGGCATCGAAGCTCCAGCCCCAGCCTGGGTCTCCTAGAGCAGTTTTGTTTATATTCTCTTAGGATCAGGACAGATTGTTTCCTCGTTGTCCAGTACCTAGCTCAGTGTTGAATTTTGAGAGGCACCTGGATGCTTGAATGTATTTATGAGAGTATATTTGTGAATGCTTGGGGGAATCCTTGGACCAGTTTTGATAGAGTTCAGGTCCGTAGAATACCAAGCTGTCATATTCAGCTGAAAGAAGCTCTTCAGAAATGAAAGTCAAGTTAGGTAGAAGATGATGGCATATGTTGAAGGGGGAGAGACAAATGCTTTCTTTCTCACCAGATCCTGGGAATGGATTCTCTAGAATGTTGGGATAAATGGAGCTTGGGTTTCATCTTTCAGATATGAATTACAGTCTTGACTATGCACTTCCTGGTCATGTGACTTTAGAATTTTTTTTTAATTCCTCTGAACTTTTACGAACGCATCTGCAAAACTGTTGTTAGGGACCATGCTGTGCGGCCAAAATTGTGGGGAGCGCTTCTGCAATGCTGCTCACACATAGATGCTCAGTGTCATTCCTAAGTGCACCTTGCCTCATCCATGGATTGCAATCAGAGTATCCAAGGGAGGGGGTGGAGAAAGGGGAACAGGATGGAGAGAGAGAGAGAGAGAGAGAGAGAGAGAGAGAGAGAGAGAGAGAGAGAGAGAGAGAGAGAGAAAGGAGAGAACACAAGCATAAGGGAGAGAGGGAAGGAAGGAGAGAGGGAGGGGGGAGGAGACACTGAAGTAGTTTGAGAGAGAGAAAAGACTAGAAACTTGGTGTGAGGTAAGTTTGACTGATGGTTGCAGAGTGAAGCAACTTTTTTTTTTTCCAAATCTGAACAGCTAAGTGTTGTGGAAAATTCTGCCTAAATATCAATGAGATGTTATTTTAATATACTCTAATTTAGAGAATATAGCTTTCATTTTGGGTCTTATTGGGAAACTTGGGTCACGGGTCTAGGACTTCAGTTGTTCCCAGAACTTAGGCTTTATTATTATTCTAATGAGTGCAAGCATTCCTTCTCTCCCTCTCCCCTGTCTGTGCGTCTCTCTCTGTATGCATGGTGTGTGTGTGTGCAATGTGTACGCATGCTCATTTGGGCATGTGAATGTCAGGGCATGCTTGCCATGGCACACGTGTGGAGATCACAGGACAGAGTGTGTCAGTCCTTAGCTTCCAACCAGGTCTGTCGTTTTCCACTGTGTACCCCGGGCTGCCTGGCCCACGAGCTTTCGGATACTCTCCTGTCTCCACCTCCCATGTCCCTGTAGTAGTGCTGGGCTGCTGGCATGCATCTGGCTTTTCTCCGGATCTGAGGATTGGAACGCAGGCCCTCGTACTAGTAAGGAAAGGACTTCCACCCACCAAGCCATGGACCAGCCCCCAAGCTGTGAGCTTCCAGATATCCTGCCAAGTCCCTTGCAAACTCTTGCCCGTCAAGCCCCTGAGTCACATGTCTCCATTTCTATCTGCTCAGATTTTTCATCCTCAGCCTGTTTCTTTTTTCTTTAAGCTGATCCTGTTTGGACTAAGTAACCAGATGGTGGTAGCTTTCAAGGAAGAGAACACTATAGCCTTCAAACACCTTTTCCTAAAAGGATACTTGGATCGAATGGATGACACATACGCAGTGTACACTCAGAATGATGTCTACGACCAGATCATCTTTGCAGTGAACCAGGTAAGTCAACCGTGTGCATTTGATTTTGCTTGTTCATTTTAGGGTTAGGGGTTGAACTTGGGCCCCGCACAGCTAGGCAAACAAGCGTTCTAATAACGAGATACCCAGACTGTGTGTATACTTTATTTGGGAGAAAGAACAGCTGGACAAATGCTAGCAACAGATTATATAGAAACCCACACTCAAGTGTTGAACAGTTCTGCTTGGAGATGACCTATGGATAAACAATGAAATATAGTTTAAGGGCCGGAGAGATGGCTCAGCAGTTAAGAGCACTTGATGTTCTCCAGTGGAGTTGACTTTGCTTCCCAACCCCCACATCAGGCAGCTGACAACTGCTGTGCCTCCAGCTTTAGGGGATTCACTGGCTTTCTGGCCTCTGCAGATACTCCCTTTCCTAACACAGGGCACGCTCGCATGTGCGCACGCGCACACAGACACACCTAAAAATAAAAATACATGTTTAAAATTGATTGAAAAATATTGCTAACAAACTTTTAAACAAGTAGATATTGGCAAAAGCTTTCAACTCCAACCAGCAGAAATGTTGAACTTCAACGACTTAATTAAAAGAACCAGGGTCAATCAAGAGCTTCAGTATTTGAAATTTCTAAGATAACCCTGTATGTAAGTAGTCATTATGTCTTCAAAGCTTGTACTTTCAGAGACCTATAACACATAATGAGGGTTTTAATTTTGAAGTTCGTGTAACAACCAAGGCCTTCAAGCTCATGTATAAGCAAGGCTTTTATGTCATGCCTGCTGATTACCCTGAGATGCTGACTAACTGCCTGGCAAAAATAGGAAGCTTGCTTTTCATACAACAGAGTCAAGTTTTCATTCTGGGTTATTCTTGCTGTAATTAGTGCTTTCTCACGGTCTGAAATCACTTCTTTTGAAGGGATGATTAGAATGATTTTGAGGCCATTATATTGTTTGTTTGTTTTTGGAGACAGGGTTCCTCTGTATACAGCCCTATCTGTCCTGGAACTTGCTCTGTAGACCTGGCTGGCCTCGAGATCCTCCTGCCTCTGCCTCCCGAGTGCTGGGATTCAAGGCGTGCACCACCACAGTGTTTTTAACCTAGGGTAGTTACAGATCACATTTCAAAATCTTTAACTCCCCTCTTCAAGAGTTTTTCCTGAGCAGTCACAACTCTTCATTTGCTAGAGGAAACCTATTCAAACAGCGACCATGAGCTTCTGGGGTGAAGTACATTTTTCTGGAGCCAAGGTTCTTGATTAGCAGTTGGGAAGAGGAAATTTAGAGACAAAAGCTGCAGAAAGCTGGTAAACATAGTCATGCCCTACGATCTTTAGAGGACAATAGCAAATAGCTTAGTGATGAAATAAGTTTAGAGACTTTTGTTATGAGATTCCTGCCTGGATCCCATCGCGCTTTAGCCCCCAAAATAACACACGGAGACTCAGTTTGTTACAATGCTGTCTGCCAATGTCCACAGCTTATCATTGGCTAGTTCTGTCTTAAATATTAACCCATGACTACCAATATATATTTCTACATGGACTTATCTTACCGAAAAATCCAGGCTCGTGCTCTCCTCCTGGGATCATATGGTGACTCCCCACTCTTGACTACATTTCCCAGAATCCTCCTCGACTCCTAGTCTTGCTTCCCTATTGGCCAACAGTGCTTTATTTACATGTACACAGAAGGACTTTTAAAAAACGTGTGTGTGTGTGTGTGTGTGTGTGTGTGTGTGTGTGTGTGTGTGTGTGTGTGAGATATGTGTGCAGGATATGACATGGCACTTGTGTCAAGATCAGAGGACAGCCTTGGCTGTTAGTCCTCAACCTCTACCTTGTCAAGTCCTTTGTTCATCATTGTGCATACTAAATTAGCTGACTTACAAGCTTCTTGGGGGATTTTCCTGTCTCTGTCTCTCAGCTCACCACAGGAAAATTGGGATTATAGATGCACGCTGCTGGACTTTGTTTTCTATGGATTTGGGGATTTGAACTCAGGTCCTCATGATTTGATAGTAAATGCTTTACACAATGAACCACCACTGAGCCCTAGACTTAACTTTTAAATGTATTAAGAATCTGTAAAGCATGGTACCAAATTTATGTGTCTCTTAGGTGTTACCCAGAGATGAGAAGTAAGCAGTCCATTGCATCTTGTTGTTTTGAGGCAGGACCTTAGGTAACCCAGGGTGACTTCACACTCTTTGTAGCAGAGGTTGGCACTGATCGCTTGAGCTCCTGCCTCCACCTCTGTGAAGCAGTCACTGTGCCTAACTAAAGACCCAGTACATTCTTTAGAAAACATTTTTACCTTTGTCACTAGGACTAAACTCAGGCTTCAAAATGCTGCTTGTTAGATCTCCACGTTCTTTCCATGAAGAGCACTTATCTTAGGTGTCACATTTCCTTCTGATGCTATAGGAAAATATTTGTAAGGATAATAAGCGGAAGCAGTTTTCCACTCACAGCACTGAAAGGCTAAGAGCAAGATGTCCACACACTCAGCTCTTGTTGGAAGGTCCACATAGCCCCTCTGTCCCTGCTGTGTTGGAAATGTTTGGTCTAACAGTCAAACACAGCATGCTAATTCCTGCACCTGGGTGTTTTCTCTTAGTCCCCACCCAGGCGCCCCAGCACCTCTGCGTGGGTTTCTAAAGGATGCACCAGAAATCAAGACTCTTATCATATAGTACCCTTCGCTCATGCAGCCAAGAGACACACGGTCTGTTTATGTCCGTACACATCTAAACCCTCATCATGCTCAACAGCATAGTATTTGGTGACATCACTCCATGAAGACAGAAGTATCAGAGAGACATAAAATGTATGTTCCAAGGACAGGGAAGGAGCACAAATGAGCAATGTACAATTGCTTTACTTCTGTAGTGCAGTGCTTGACTAAGAGTCTTTAACTTTGGCTTATTTTACCAGTCAAAGACTGACCAGCGATGCTGCATCTAAGTGAGATGCCAGGAGATTTCGGGACAGGAATGTAGTGTAGGGAGAGCCTATGGTCAGATGGCAACTGACCTGGAGAATTCCTGAGTCGATTGTACAAAGCATCTGAGTTTTCAAGGCCTCCATGGGGCTTTCCCGGTCTCAACTGTCCCTTCTGATCTCTGTTGCTATTTCTTAAAGTCACCCACTCAGATGCAGAGTCCCAGCGTGTGTTTCTGGAATGTCCGCACCCCGAGGGGAGATGGGAGCCTGCCCTCTCAAGACATGGCCAGGAAGGGTTATCGCGGCTTTGCCTTCGGCCTGACTGGCATCCCTTTGCCCTGGCTGGTGTTCCATTCCTGTCTCTCTTTTTTGGATGAAGTACTTGCAGCTTCGTAACATCTCCGTTGGCAACCATGCTTATGAGAACAAGGGGAGTAAGCGGTCGGCTATGGCAGTCTGTCAACACTTCTACAAGCGAGGAACCATCTGTCCGGGGAATGACACCTTTGACATCGACCCAGAAATTGAAACAGGTGATGATCTCCTATAGCCTTGGACTGTATTTTTTAACTCCCTGATTTCTATCTAAGCCCCATGATAACTAACCCTAACCCCATGCTCCTATGTGAACCTTTGGTATACTACTCATGAATTCAAAAGAAAAATGGACAGATAAAGCATTGAGGAAGTAGAGACAGGGAGAATGATGACACTCTGAGATGGAGTCTGAATGTGTCTAATCTTTGACCACTGTAGAAATGTCTTCTGTCTTAAAACCAGGAGTGTCAGACCAAGTGACATTGACACCCAGCTCCCACAGTCTTGATTCTAAAAAGTAGTAACATGAATAATTGGTCTTAATCTCCATCCTTTGAAAATGCATTTTATTTTTGGTTTTGTTCCTTTCTGTGGCAGAATGTTTCCTTATAGAGCCCGATGAACCTTTTGACATTGGAACACCTGGAGAAAATAAACTCAACCTGACCCTGGACTTCCAGAGGTGAGGAAAACAGAGGGGCACGCAGCTCAGCCTGTGTGTCCCTCATCTCAGTGTCCTCTGGAGGACTCACAGTCTCTCCTGTGTGTGTTCCTCATCTCAGTGTCCTCTGAGGACTCACAGTCTCTCCTGTGTGTGTCCTCATCTCAGTGTCCTCTGGAGGACTCACAGTCTCTCCTGTGTCCCTCATCTCAGTGTCCTCTGGAGGACTCACAGTCTTACCTGTGTGTGTCCTCATCTCAGCGTCCTCTGGAGGACTCACAGTCTCTCCTCTGGAGGGCTCACAGCTTGGTCAGTGTATGTATCAGCCCTCTTCTGATGTAGCTTGTCCTGTATTGTCGCACCTGCTGTGTAGCCTGCATCCGAGAATGTAGCGAGATGGTCGGGATAGATGACACAGAGACCGGTTGGTTGCGTTAAGAAAACTTTATGCTTCCCAAGTTGGCTTAGGAGCACCCCAAGTCCGCTTAGGAGAGAAGTCTCTCCAAGAAAAAAAAACTTTCCCTTTTTAAGGACTTCTGCCATCCATCTACATACAATTCTCCAACAACTCTCCCAGACTTCTCACCCTCCTGGCTGGTGGTTTAATCTCCCAGCCCAGAATCGGGGAGAAACAGCAGGGGGCAGGAAGAGGCATCTAGCCATAGGGGGGATCAAAGTCATGGTTTTTCAGTGAGCGAGCCCTTATAAGAGCCCTTTATGACACTGGATTGTTTTCAGTAAACATGTTTTCAGTAAACATTATCTTGCAGCTGCCTGCTCCCAGGCCGAAGGGGAAGTGGGTTTCTGTTCAAGGTCTGGTGTCCCCACACTGTATGTCCCCTCATGGCGAGTATCTTCTGCTTTCCAGACTCCTGACCGTGGAGCTTCAGTTTAAGCTGAAAGCCATTAATCTGCAGACCGTTCGCCACCAGGAGCTTCCTGACTGTTATGACTTCACTCTGACTGTAAGTGCGGGCTGTGCCGAATGCGCCTCCTGTCTAGAGAAAATCTGTTTTGTCTCGGTGTACGGTTCAGGATCACATACCAGTACTAAATGAGACATGGTAAAAAATGTAGGATGTCCCACCTGTGCGTGCACGTGCCTGGGGACACTGCTGCAGCTGCTCTGCTCTGCAGATTGTAGGATGTCCCACCCGTGCTGTGCCTGGGGACACTGCTGCAGCTGCTCTGCTCTGCAGATTGTAGGATGTCCCACCCGTGCTGTGCCTGGGGAAATGCTGCAGCTGCTCTGCTCTGCAGATTGTAGGATGTCCCACCCGTGCTGTGCCTGGGGACACTGCTGCAGCTGCTCTGCTCTGCAGATTGTAGGATGTCCCACCTGTGCGTGCACGTGCCTGGGGACACTGCTGCAGCTGCTCTGCTCTGCAGATTGTAGGATGTCCCACCCGTGCTGTGCCTGGGGACACTGCTGCAGCTGCTCTGCTCTGCAGATTGTAGGATGTCCCACCCGTGCTGTGCCTGGGGACACTGCTGCAGCTGCTCTGCTCTGCAGATTGTAGGATGTCCCACCCGCGCTGTGCCTGGGGACACTGCTGCAGCTGCTCTGCTCTGCAGATTGTAGGATGTCCCACCCGTGCTGTGCCTGGGGACACTGCTGCAGCTGCTCTGCTCTGCAGTTGCTTGTTTGCCTTCCGCACCTCATTGCCTGTCCTGCAAGGAGGGACTTAGCTTGTCTGCCGCTGCTCATGCAGCCTGGGGCCTGGTGCAAGGCAGATGACCAAATGCCAAAGGAGCAGTGAGTGTTTGTGTGTGTGTGTGTGTGTGTGTGTGTGTGTGTGTGAGAGAGAGAGAGAGAGAGAGAGAGAGAGAGAGAGAGAAACAGAGACAGAGACAGAGACAGAGGGAGAAGGTGTGACACAGAGAGAGGGAGTGTGTGTGTATGTGTGTGAGAGAGAGAGAGAAAAAGAGAGAGAGAAGAATGTGTGACAGAGAGAGAGGGTGTGTGTGTGTGTGTGAGAGAGAGAGAGAGAGAGAGAGAGAGAGAGAGAGGGAGGGAGGGAGGGAGGGAGGGAGAGAGGGAGAGAGAGAGAGAGAGAGCGCAGGGGTTGTTGTAGACTTTCCCCGTCACGGATGTTACGGCTCCAGCTTCCCCGTGAGGCCGAGTGCTCTGTTTTGCGTCTCCTCTTCCACTCCCTCTGTGTTGTATGAATTCCAGTTGCAGATGGAGCTGCCAAGTCCCTGTAGTGCAGGTGCTCAAAGGGTTCAGTACTTCAGAGGGCAAATGTGGGTGCTAAGATGCTCAGCAGGGGAGGACACTTGGGGCCGAGCTGATGGCCTTCCACATGGTGGAAAGAGAGAACTAATCCTGCAAGTCGTCTTCTGACCTCTACATGTGCACTGAGGCATGTGCTATGTGCTCAAACACACACATACACATATGTGATAAACGTGGATAAATGTCTGATTTAAAAAAATCAATAACACATTCTGTTTGGCCACATGTAGGACAGAATTTGGAAGCTTTCTGCGGTGATACATTACTTATGATTTATTAAAGCTTGCCTGAGGATTCAGAAAGAAAAGTCAGCCTCAAGATAACAAAGATCAGGCACACACTTTAATCCCAGCAGCCAGAAGCTAGGATTACACACCTGTTATCCTAGGACTCAGGATTAAGAGACAGACGGATCTCTGGGTGTTCAAGGCCACCCAGATCTACACAAGAGTGATCCAGTCCTAAAGAGAAACAGTTCACACAAAGATGATGTCAGCACCCGGGATCACACGCCTTTAATCCCAGCACTAGAGGGGTATAAAAGACAGGAGCAGGGTGTGCAGAAGTCAGGATCAGGCGTTCGTTCTCCAGCCACATTGACTATAGGAAGACACTGAAGTCTCAGGATTCTCCAGCCACGCTGAGGAGAGGCTTCAGTCTGAGGTTTGGTGGGGCCAGGGTCGTGTATCAGTCTGAGCTAGAGTGAGAGCTAGTGCCCAGCTGGTTTGCTTTTCTGATCTGCAGCTTGAAGCTTGAACCCCAATATCAGTCTCTGGGTCTTTTATTTATCATGTTACATCTTTCTTTTGTTTGATCCATACATATATTGCCTCATTTGTATGGCCTTTGCAGTAGCTTGTATTCGTGAAGCTTGATTAATTGGTTGTGAAAATGGAGTTATCAGGAGTAGGGGTGAAGTAATATTCCATCATGTAATATAATGGCCATGGAGAAGTTAAACATGAAAAAGCATTCAAACATGAAGAGGAGTCTGAATATTCATGTTGATCCTGGTATCAACCAGGAAGCTATGAACTACCAATATCACCTGATACTAAAGATTTTTTTTGATACTAAAGATTTTGAGATAACATCACGTCTTCTCTATTTTGAGTTTGAAGAATGGTGTTTTCAGAATTCGTACAGTCTTGATGCCTTCTTGTTTGACTTCTTGTGATTCTTCAGTTATAAACGCATTCTATAATCTCCCAGGAAGTGCTCTGGTTTATTTTTCTCCTTTCAGCTTTCATTTTGTTTCCCTCCCCTCTCTCTTTTTTATATTTGATGTGGTTCACACTTTACTCTTTATTCTAGCATTTTCTAGGTGTTTGACATCATCTATGTTATACTGGAGGCTCCTTGAAGCTTTTGGTCCTCTTATTAATCTTTCCTCTCAAGTAGCACACAGTAGGTGATGCTAATATTGATTGAATGAATCAAGAAAATTCTTGTGAAAGCTGGGCCCTTTCCAATGGCTCGATTTGGATATCTAAGTCTCAGATTCATTGAAAAAGTATTTAGTTTTTACCCGCATATGCTAAGTTGGATTTACAACAGAAAAAATGGTCCATCTATATTCGGAAGTCTCCCATGATGTTTTTTGAGACTCTTCATTAGGTGTATAAACATCTGAATTCCTTTGTGTGTGCATATGTGGTGTGTATATGTGTTTACATGTGTGTGGCACATGATGTGTGTTTGTATTGTATGTGCACATGTATATGTGTGTCTACACGTGTGTGGGCACATGCATATGTGGGTGCATGTATATGCTAACATTAGAAGGCTTCCTTGATTGCTTGTATTGTATGTGCACATGTATATGTGTGTCTACACGTGTGTGGGCACATGCATATGTGGGTGCATGTATATGCTAACATTAGAAGGCTTCATTGATTGCTTGTATTGTATGTGCACATGTATATGTGTGTCTACACGTGTGTGGGCACATGCATATGTGGGTGCATGTATATGCTAACATTAGAAGGCTTCCTTGATTGCTTGTATTGTATGTGCACATGTATATGTGTGTCTACACGTGTGTGGGCACATGCATATGTGGGTGCATGTATATGCTAACATTAGAAGGCTTCATTGATTGCTTGTATTGTATGTGCACATGTATATGTGTGTCTACACGTGTGTGGGCACATGCATATGTGGGTGCATGTATATGCTAACATTAGAAGGCTTCATTGATTGCTTGCCCCTTCATATATTTATCAGCACGGGAGTTTTGACCTGCTCCGTTTCTGACCTGGGCCGGTTCACCCCTCCTTAGGCAACCTGGTGGCCCCCCGCTCCCGGGAGGTCACCATATTGATGCCGAACTTAGTGCGGACACCCGATCGGCATAGCGCACTACAGCCCAGAACTCCTGGACTCAAGCGATCCTCCTGTCTCAGTCTCCCGAGTAGCTGGGACTACAGGCGTGCGCCACTGCGCCCGGCACCCCCTTCATATATTGAGGCAGGTCGATAGTTTCCCTCATTGAACCCAGAGTTCACCAATTCTGGCGAGTCTGGCTAACCCGCCTGCTTAGGAGATCCCTTGTCTTACTTTCTCAAGTGTTAGAGGCAGCCACCATGTTTGCCTGGCTTTCACATGGGTTCTGGGGGATCTGAACACCAGGCCTCATGCATGCATAGCGAGTGCTTGCATCTTTAAATGTTACAGCCTTTATTTCTGTGATACTCTTCGTAAATCTCACCCAGCATCCTTTCTCCTTGGCGAGATTGAGCATCTGCTGAGATGCAACCCAAGACATCTACCGAGTCCCTAACAGTCCTTGAGGCTCTCCGTGTGGGAAAAGATGCTCTCTCATTGGCAAGAGCATTCCCCCCCCCGTCAAATGACATGGATGTCTCCTTGTGTTAGCTGTGTCCTTCAGTCACTGTGGGAGGGCAGCCAATGGTAGTGGCCTCAGTTGTGTGGGGACCAAAGCTGACACTACATTTTGAGGGGACACAGAGTGACTAGACTCTTTGCAGTGACTTCAAATCACATATCTTAGCAATGCATGCTTTGGTCTTCTGATACAAGCAACTTCAGGGATTTCTGAGCAGTTCTTTCCAAACTGTTGTAAAAGGTTTAGTTTTTGCTATGGTAGAAGTTCTTGCAAATATATATAGCATTGTGCGATACTCTAGTCACTTGGGCTCTGTCTGCCTCCCCTGTGTGGAGAAGCCTCAACAAAATTCACTTACATGGCAGAGTTTTTTAAGCATTTTTTAAAGTTCTTTGAGGATTTCGTAGATAAGTACAATGCATTTTGATCATATTCTCCAGCAGTGTCCCCCTCTTCCAGACCCTGTACACCCTGCTCTACACCCCACACTTAGTCCAGTCAGGCTGTCTGTGCATGGGTATGAGGCCATTCCCCAGAGCATGGAAGACATAGCAGAGGCCATACACCCAAACAAAAATGACCCCTCCTCCCCCAGTAGCCACCACCTGCCAATGGGCCCTTAGTGGCGGGGAGGGGGTGGAGTCTCGTGTGTCTTTCCCTCATCTCTGCCAAAAAGTTGGGTGTCTGGTGGCTGTGTGTTCATATGACACATTTTCACAGCAGCCCCCATCTTTTGACTCTGACAGTCTTCCTGGCCCCCCCTCTCTTATGCTCCCCAGCATTGGGGTGGAGTGGGGTGAGGTAAAGGTTTATTTAGGGCTGGGCAGTAAATGAAGGACCTTTAACTGAGGTTTTCCCATCCTTTGGTGAGAAAGGGAAGATAGAGGTGAATTTTCTTGCCTTTCCTTCCTTTTGTCTACATGGAGGAAGCAAGGGGCTTAGAAGGAGATGTGGGGGGACAACAGAAGGCACTGTGTAGCTGTGTGATGCTCGCACCTAGCATTTTTATCGGTTATCTCAGAAGCAGGACATGCTGGCAACCATGTCACCAAGCTCTTTGTAATAAACGGGATACCAGAGTGACGGAGAAATCTAGTCCCGAAATGAAAATGAAAACAAAAGCAAAAGCCTCTCCATTTGCGGTGTCTATAGGCAGAAGTGATGCTTCTGTGCCGTGATTCCCCAGACGCCAAACAGTCAGAGCTAACCTGTATGAACTCCTGCCACGTGGATTTCTAGAATAGGAAGGAGGTGAAGTCACTCTTGTTAGCTAAGGTGTCCAGGGCTGGAATGCATCCTAGAAGAACAGGGCACTAAGATCTCTCTATAGCGATCTAATTCACTACTATCAACCCATAGAGAAATAAGTGGGTTCTCTTCAGGGACCATGTGGTCAGAGATGAGAATCGGCATCTCCTGTGTCCTTCGGGGAACCGCTTCCTGATGGATTCAGAGAGCTGGTTTGACTTCAAAACGTAGTTACGCATACTAGACCCTTTTTCTTGTCTTTCCAGATAACATTTGACAACAAGGCTCACAGTGGAAGAATCAAAATAAGTCTAGACAATGACATTTCTATCAGAGAATGCAAAGACTGGCACGTATCCGGATCACGTGAGTAATAAGCCCCACTCATTTGCAGGATGGCAATGTATTAACTAAACATTAGACTACTGCTTGCGGGACACAAGGGCCACTAGGTAAAAGACTGAGCTAGCTCCAAGTCTCTTGATGTTCTGTAAGCAGATCACTTTGCTGTTGATGTCCGGTGTCTCAGACAGCATGCGGCGTCCAAGGGTTCTTTACCTTCTCCATAAGTCCCCACCTGCCTCCTCCTTACTAACTACACACTCAGTTCTGCGAAACAAGCCCACGCACGCCCATTTTCCTCATGCTGTTATTTTTAAATATCTCAGTGATCAGCAGAGTGGAGAAACCAGGGCTCAGAAGTAAAGTGTGGTGACCCGCGGTCTTACAGGGAGGGAGATGTCAGGTGGGATTTGACCTCGAAGCTATGTCACATAGTCATCTTCTGTCTGGCTTTAAAAGTAGAGTAACGTGGAAACAGTCTGTCCTGAAGACATGAACAAAAATTCAGGTCAGAATGAGTCCTGTCAGGCACTGGAAAATTCTGCCAGGAAAGGATTTCCAAGTCGTTTTCTAGGTGCTCTTAAGTAGCCTGAACGGAAGGCTGCACTGTACCGATTCCATGAGAACTTCAGGCGTCTACCCAGAAGAGGCTACTTGGATACCTGCTAAGACACAGGTTCCTCTGCTTTACCCAAGACAATTGGTCAGTCTGGCAGGGTCCAGAATGTGTAAGTGCTGTCCAGCAGTCCAGCAAAAGGGTAATTCCTGTTGCAGGGTTTGTTTCTGACAGGTTTCCCAAGCCCCAGGTGACCATCCATGATGAGTCCGTGGAGTGAAACAGTCCTGCTGGTGCTATTTGCACCGGGAGGCAGCTTCGAGTGTGTGAGGCTCTCCCATCTCAAGTTTCATCGCCGTCACAGACTTGTCTGTGTGGCCTGCAAGTCTGTTTTGCCAGCTGTGAGCCGTGAGCAGCACCCCACGAAGGAAAAGGGGAGCCTACGAAATGTGGGGCACAGAGGCTGCCTCTCAGATGTTTGTTTCTTGGGTTTTAGGTCTTTCTAAGGCAGAGTTAGACATTTCAGCAGCCATTAGAAGCCACTTGGCAAACATCCTGTTTGCTTTATTCCAGCACTTTCTGAAACTACTTGACGGCCCTGTCAGCGCACAGCAGCCTGACTGCTGGAGACAGGCTCATTACGTGGGCCTTGGCTTTGCACTTACGATTCTCCAGGATTTCAGTGTGGCTGAACAAAGGTTATCCTCCCTTGCTTCCCTCCTCCTCCTCCTCCTCCTCCTCCTCCTCCTCCTCCTCCTCCTCCTCCTCCTCCTCCTCCTCCATTGTTTAAACAGGGTCTCTCTACATAGCCCAGGCTGTCCTCACACTCACAATCTCTTCCTGCCTTGGCCTCTAAGTGCTGGGACTTTAGGTTTCTGCCACCAAGCCTGTCGGAAGCTGGTCATTTCTTGTCATCCAAAGCTCTGTTACAGCCTTGGTGAGGCCTCTTTCCTGGCTGCCTCCTCCAGAATGCAGAGATGGCTCTGAAACATTAGCCTTGTCTGAGGGCTTAGTGACACAGCACTTCTGGTTCAGTAGTTCACGGCAAGAGCTGAGGATGTCCCCTAGTGATTCTAAAACAACAGGAAATGAACCCGATGCAGAGTGGGAGGTGGTGGAAGCAGGCTGTGAAGGACTGAGTGCCCACTGGGCCACCTACCGTGTCACTTAGACAAGTTATGTGGCCTCTCTGTGTTTCAGTCTCATGACAGCCTCGCGGGGGGCTATTGTGAGGATCCTGTGCACACAGGGTGCTTGGGACCCAGTCAGCTGTGCTGAGCACGGTGTGGTTGTGGGGTCCATGTGCCTGTTTCCTCCTTTGCTCGTCCTGCTGGCAAAGATGCTCTCATTAGGCCTTGTTTACAGCTGTGTCTGCCTTGTTTACAGCTGTGTCTGCCTTGTTTACCTCTGTGTCCCCGTACCTAGAAAAGTGGCAGGTGCATGGGGTGCTTCATGAATGTTTTTTACCCTGCTAAGCACGTTAACAAGCAATGCAGGGAGGCTTATTGGTTGGCTGATTGACTTGTTTTGAAAGGATTTCACTCTATGTAGCCCAGGCTGGCCTCAAGCATAGTAGATAATCCACGGTAGCCTAGACCTCCTGGTAATCGTTCCGCTCCTTGCTCCCAAGTGCTGAGATTATAGACGTGCCACCATCACACCCAGCAAGGGGAACCTTTTCAGCATAAAGACCACAAACTGATAATTAAAGATCTTTGATTTGGAGTGGCTTTCTTTTCTTTTCTTTAACGAAGGCTCCTCAGCTTTCTTTAAATACTAATGGGAAGAATGGCTCATAAGTTCCTTTTTTGTTGTTGTTGTCACTCTGAAATGTTTGAATTATCTAAATTACTATAAAAAGAAGCCAGCATCATCATATTAATGCCTCACCCATGGACACCCAGGGCCCTCTGTCTTCCAGTTCAGAAGAACACCCACTACATGATGATCTTCGATGCCTTTGTTATTCTGACCTGCCTCTCCTCGCTGGTGCTCTGTGCCAGGTCTGTGATTAGGGGTCTTCAGCTCCAGCAGGTAGGGCGCTGCTCCCCGAGAAGCCACGACATGCCCAGCCACAGGGGCAGCATGCTCACAGGCTCTCTCCCCTTCCCAAAAGGAATTTGTCAGCTTTTTCCTTCTCCACTATAAGAAGGAAGTTTCTGCCTCTGATCAAATGGAGTTCATCAATGGATGGTACATTATGATCATCATTAGTGACATTCTGACCATCGTTGGATCAGTTCTGAAAATGGAAATCCAAGCCAAGGTAAAAACTCTTTTTCTCCCCCAAATGTGTTACCACAATGCTAAAGTGTATTTTCCAAACTAGGAAGAAATTCAAAGCAAATGCTTTCTTCTGAGCTTTGTGTTCAATCAAATGGAAACCGACAAGAGCAGTTTTCTTAACTCCAGCATGAGTCTACTGACCAGAGTTTAAAAAAGTCATAATCCATAAATATAGGTGAGAATCCTGAGTGGTCACAAAATGCTCTGGGCTATACCAAGAGAGTTCAAACAGATACCTAGGCCATGTGTACACTAAGGGAATCAGCTGAGAGTCTTCAAAGGAAATGTTAAAATTGTGTATTCGACCAGAAAAAAAGTATTGGGGAGGTAGAGTGAGGTCAAGGCATGACCCTGTGCATTTCTACCTTGATTTCCTCTCCCAAATATGCTTATGTTCTTACTTTTCCATCGATATTATTCTCTGGAAATGAGACGAATCTGGTCTAGGATTAATCATTCTTTACAAACAAAAATTTAAAGATTAACAGCGTTCAGACAGATTTTGCTCAACTCTATACCTCCCTGTCCTTGCTGTAATTAACTGCACATCACCTAGGAAGCTGGTTATAAACCTCGGTAGAGACTCAACACACTGGGGCAGGGTCAAAGGGCAGCTTGCTCTCTTTTCTGAAACAGTCAGGGTGGGGCTCTGTGTTGGTAAGTCATTCAGGAACCTGAGCTCTCTTCACGTGTTCTTTGTCAGAAGTTGAGGGCTCTTCCTGACTTCATGGCTGACACGGGGCTGCCTTGTGACCTGGCTCGGCCTGTGGGAAGTGAAAACATCAGCCAGTGGCAGCCCTCCCGTGTCACGGGGCCCAGGCTCGGGGTCAGCAGATTTCGTTTCTGTTCACATGCTCTGGAGTGGAGCTGTCACACTCACCTGCAGGAGGATCTGGGGATTAGTAGACACATGCTTGAGAAGGAGGCGGGGTATAACGCTGTTCACCGTGGGCCAGCTGCTGCCATTTGAGTAGTTTAACTTTAGGGAACAAAAGAAAAAAAAAGACGGTGGATTTGTATGTAGTACATCTTTATTTATTTAATTAGTTACGTTTGAGATAGGATCTCATGCAGCTCAGGCTATCTTCAAACTCACCATGTAGCTGAGACTGACCTTGAACTCTGATCCCCACAAATTCTGGGATTACAGGCACATACCATACATGGCACAATTATTCATTTTCTTTTTATCAACCTCAACTATCATTTCCTTCGGTGAGCCCTTAGTAGTGTCCAGCATTTTCTTCATTTTCTGGACCTTCTTTTTCTCTTCTGTGAGCCCTTAGTAGTGTCCAGCATTTTCTTGACCTTCTTTTTCTCTTCTGAAACCCCTAGCACACCCCGCCCCCTGCCCGCCCCACCTCACTTCCTGTTCCATCACAGGGACACGCCTTCCACAGTCGTCTGTCCGCCCCCCCCCCCCCACCTCCAGTGTCTCTACGTTCTCACGCTGCGAATGATTTAGGGAGCTGTCCAAGTCTAGCTCCTTCAGGTGCCTCTCTGAAGCTGACCCCAGGCTCTTAGTGGAGGACGTAGCTTCAGCGACTCTTTCTCCTCTCTGGCAAGTCTCGTCTCCTGCAACTTTCTCATGCTGCTGTTGCTTCTTTTGTAAAATTAAAATCCCAGTTCCTCTACCCAGCTATTCCCCTAGTAAAGATCTCACAATAGTCCCTCGCCGATGGTTCTGTCGTGTCCGTCTGTCCCCGCCCCCCCTCCCACTTCTAGTATGCCTTCCAACCCTCACTTCCCCGTGGAGATTCCTTTCTGCAGATGTCCCGTGGACCATTTCCCATCAGTAGCTTTCCACTGCCCATCCGGTTTGTGATGAGTCCTCTTTCAGCTGAAGCGACACTTCCCTAGGCTTCCTCCCGATCCCTGGCTGGCATTGGGAGCTTTCCTCGCTGGTTCCCTCTCACTTGGCCAGGCCCCCGTGTGCTTGGACAGCTCTTTCCTGCCACTGCCTTGGTAGTGTTATCGTCCTGACCCAGATAGATAGGCTGGTATTCACTTGCCAGTGTTTGCCAATCTGGAACTCCACCTTGGAAGTCTCTGTGCTGTCTCCTGAATGCCCAAGTGCTGACCCCGTATCTTCTCTGGACTATCCATGTATCTTCTCGGATTTGACACACCCACCTCAGAACTCCCCCAGTCCTCCTCAATCCAAATCCTCTTCTCGAATTGCCTCTCCAGTGTCCATTAACAGCAGCTCTCGGTATGTTCACGCCCCAAGTCTTGCATTCACTGAAGTTCCTCTTTTTTACGAATCTCCCCACTGCCTGGCCGAATCCCAGGGGGAGCCTACATGTCCCACCTTGGAAAATGACCCCATCACCTTCACAGTTCCAAGTTATCACCAGCTGTCACCTGCGCTTCTTCAGTACCCTTCTCGTTCCCCCAACAGTCTGCTGCCAACCACATGGCCAGCATTGGGTCGTGCTGCTCCTATGCAAGGCTCTCAGATCTCCCTGGCCTTTCCAGGCAAAAACCGCAGCCTTGAGTACCCGTGAGGTCTTACACTACCCACCCTTACCCCCGTGTCTCCGTGCTCCGTCTTTGGTTCACCTCTCGCCTGGTTCCTCGCTGCCTCGGGTCCCTTGCACGCGCTGCTCTGTATGCCGAAGGGTCTTCCAGATGTTTTGCTTGACTTTCTTCCTCGTTTCTTCCAGATCTTTGCTTCCGTGTCACTTACTCATTGAGATTGTTTTCCCCTGCTCGACCTATTTCAAATTGCAGACTCATGCTCATTCCCTCTCTCCCTCTCTGACTGGCCTTCTTCATTAGCGTTCACCATCAGTGAATGTGCCGAAGGCTGCGCCCACCCAATGCTGTTTGTGCTCCACACGTTCCACTGGAGCGTAATCTTCATGAGGGTAAAAAAAACCCTGTCAATTGCTTTATCCTTCGCACCAGAGCAGCTCCCGGTGCATAGCTGCTTGATATTTCTGGCCCAACTGGCATATTGCTATTTAACCCACCTTTCCCATTCTGTCTAGAGTCTCACAAGCTACGATGTCTGCAGCATATTTCTTGGGATGTCCACCATGCTTGTGTGGATTGGCGTCATCCGATACCTGGGTTTCTTTGCGAAATACAACGTAAGGCATACTAAGGAACTGAGCAGAACTTTACTCCACTGCTTTGACTAAAGGACGGGATCCTAATGCCCCCTCTTCCTCCCACAGCTCCTTATTCTGACCCTCCAGGCAGCGCTGCCCAGCGTCGTCAGGTTCTGCTGCTGCGCCGCTATGATCTATCTAGGCTATTGCTTTTGTGGATGGATTGTGCTGGGCCCTTACCACGACAAGGTACTGGTAGCCAACTTTTTTCCTGACGTTATTAACCTCAAACAACAAGGGCAGTGGCTTCGGTTTTTAATGACTACTGCTTTTTATTCATTTATATTTTTGTTTGTGTTCAAGTTGGCCTTGAACTCACGTATGCAGTCAAGAATGGCCTTGGAGTCCTGGTCCTCCTGCCTGTGTCTCCCAAGTGCTGGGATGACGGGAATGTGCCAACATACCTATTTTGCTGTTTTATTCTTTTAAAAGATATTCATACTTTTATTTATTCATTGAGGATCTCACACCTAATGCACAGCATATTTTGATCATATTCATCCTTATGCCTCCCAGTTCCTCTCAGGTTCTAACTTCGTGTCCTTTTTTTTTTTTTTTTGTAACCCAATGATTCTGATTAGTGATTCCCACATGCACATACATGCGGAGCCAGACACAGTAGTATGGTCAGTCTACCAAGGACCCCACACTGACTCCCCCAACCAACGCCCTTCAACTGCTAACAGTGTTATCCCCCTTAAACGAGCTCCTCTGGTCACGTGATTCAGCCTTAAGGTGTGGAAAGTCATATATATCTGCACCCACGTGTGGGACCAAGAGCGAGTGCATCACTATTTATAACCCAGTCAAATGTGAGCAGCCTGTGAGAATCATTGATCCACTCCACTGCCTGAAATCCCGTTTGGAATACATTAGATAATTGTGCTCCATCTACAGCCAGTGAAGTTGTTTAGTCCATTTGAATTCACCGATATGCATGTATACAACTATAGGGGGGAGAAAACCTGTGGGAATATTTGAAAAGTCTGCTGTGAGAACTGTTGTCTTGAATGCTAGACATTATCTTGACTGGGGATGAGCTTGAAATGAGATTAAGGACAGGAGAATCAGGAACCTGGATGTTTCTGCGGAAGCCTTTGAAGCATTTCAAGGGTTTCCTTCTGTGAAAGGGAAAGGGGGAGAGGAGGGAGGGGAAGGTAGGGAAGAGAGGGAACAGGAAGGGAGGAGAGGGGAGGGGAAGGGAGAGAAAGGGAGGGGAGGGGAAGGGAGAGGAAGGGAGGGAGGGGAAGGGAGAGGAAGGGAGGGAGGGGAAGGGAGAGAAAGGGAGGAGAAGGATGGGGAGGGAGAGGAGGGGAGGGGAGGGAAAGGGAGAGGAAGGGAGGGGAGGGAAAGGGAGAGGAAGGGAGGGGAGGGAAAGGGAGAGGAAGGGAGGGAGGGGAAGGGAGAGGAAGGGAGGGAGAGGAATGGAGGGGAGGGGAATGGAGAGGAAGGGAGGGAGAGGAATGGAGGGGAGGGGAAGGGAGAGGAAGGGAGGAGAAGGATGGAGAAGGGGGAGGGGAAGGGAGAGGAAGGGAAAGCCTGACTCTGAATGGCCCTGAGAGAGCAGAGCAGCCCTTCCTGCTCTTGCCCAGGCTGCCGCAGCTCAGAGGAGCATTGAGAAAGAGCCGCTTGGCCCCAGACAAAGCAGCAGTCGAGGACACAGCATATGCAGCAAAGCAAATGCTTGTGGGTACCTGGGGTGGTTGTGGGAAAGTGTCACCTGGAGTAGCAGGTCTCCCACATGAAGGAACGTGGGAAAAACGAAACGTTTCCTGCCCCTTCCACAGTTCCGGTCCCTGAACAGGGTCTCCGAGTGCCTCTTCTCTCTGATAAATGGAGATGACATGTTTTCCACGTTTGCAAAAATGCAGCAGAAAAGCTACCTGGTGTGGCTGTTCAGCCGAATCTACCTCTACTCCTTCATCAGCCTCTTCATATACATGATTCTGAGCCTTTTCATTGCGCTGATCACAGACACGTACGAAACGATTAAGGTAGGTTCGTCAAAAGCCAGGGTGCCGCTGTTCTAGAACATGTGTAGTGGCTTAGTGCTGAGATGGAGGACATTGGTGGAGAGATGCAACTCAGTTTTAACAACGGGGGGAAAGAAAAAAGCAGAGGGAAATGAAATTTCTAGAATGTTGGATGTCGTGTTTCTCAATATTCATGTCAAAAAATAAGAGAGCTATCCTTCCATTTTTTTTTTTTAAATTCATTGTTAGTTGTACTAAGGATCAAACCCAGGGCCTGGCACGTGTCAGGCACACCCATGCCGTTGAACTGTACGTCCCCAACCCTTAAGTACATTTTATAATCTTTTGTTAGGCTAACAATGGTCAGTAGGCATTGGGTGTACACAACAGACATTTGAGAAAGGCAGGATTTTGTGGGGTTCATCTGTGGAAGATGAAGGATGCTCACAGTTCCCATCCCAGCCAGGTTGGGATTCTGGCTGCCTGAACCAGGGTCTACCCAAGGAGCTTCCTTCACACTGTCTGCCTGGAAATTCATGGGGCTGTAGGGCAGACTGACTGGACATTGGAGGACTTAGGGCTAAGCTGGGCAAATGTTTCCCAGGAGAGGAGTGAGGCCAAGATTCACAAGCAGACTGGGAGGAGCCAGCATAGAGGGACTGATGTAGAGTCTCAGGCCCCTTTCACTTCTACCTAGCCTGCCAGTGGCTCTGGAGGTGACAACTCCCAGAAACGCCCGCCCGGGAGTGGTGCAAACTGTCCTCCCAGGGAGATCCTTCCATCGCCAAGCGCTCCATTGTGAGTTTGGAATGCAGCTGTCGGAGAGAGCCTTATTAACAAGGACATCTCTCTTCTTCTGTGTAGCACTACCAGCAAGACGGCTTCCCAGAGACCGAGCTTCGAAAGTTTATAGCAGCCTGTAAAGACCTCCCCAGTTCTGGGAAATACAGATTAGAAGACCCTCCAGCATCTTTATTCTGCTGCTGCAATAAGTAACCACCAGGTGTCTCTGTGCTCGGAGAGGAAAACATAGTAGGCGGTTGAGTCAGAGACAGTATGATCAGGCAACAGTGTGTTCAGATAATGAGTATTCTGAGCTAGCTCACGATGGTTCAGCAAGACCTGTCTCTGTGTTTTAACGTATTTGTCGTCTTTTCTGCTTACGTTAGCGTTTTAGAAATAACTGACTTGACGAGGGAAACTACTGGATGATTGCCCCGTCCTCGGTGCTGTAGTTTGTGCTTGTGTTCTCTGGACCCTTTCACCTTGTGATGTGGTTTGTCAAGCACTGGGACATGAGCTCCGGTCTCCCAGTGCCTTTGGATGACCCAGTGTCCCTCTCTGAGAGTTGGGGAAATTATTACACATGTGATATCACTGCATCTTAGAGTCTCCCCTTAAAAGAAGACAGAACAGGAGAGGCCCCCGGCATAGCCGGCGGAGCGATGCCTGGCTCTTAGAGACAGCCACTATACGGTTCTCATATTGATTCAGAAGCTCTCTCTGCCTTTCAGTGTTAAGGTTCAAGGCTGGAAGAGACTCTACACACGAACGGAAGTTAAAGTGTGCCGGGGGGGGGGGGGTATTTGAGCAAACGGTGATGCATTATTAGCATCCAAGCAGCAAGGGGGAAACTAGTGCTAGACCGCGCCTTCAGTAGGCCTGTGCAGTCTTAGCAAAGCCATGTGGGGTCAGGAGCTGTGGCTCCATGAACTGCAGTTCGAGAACCCATGCTCAAAATTTTAAAATAAACATATGTAGCTTGAAAAGGCACTAAATTAGGCTCCACACTTTGTAGTCCACTGATGGGCAAGTATTGGGGTTTTTGTGGTGTAATACTCATTCTGTGTACTCTTTATCTATGTAAACATTAATTCAATTATATGTAGTAATGACTTTATAAAAGCACCTTTAAAAAATCAAAATTTTAACATTTTAATGTTGCACTAGAGGCATAATGAAAATAGCTCAAAACGTTGAAATCTTTTCTTTTCTATTTTCAGAGACATGATTTGTCTGTGTAGCTCTTGTCCTGGAACTTGCTCTGTGGACTAGACTGGACTCGAATTCACAGAGATCCACCTGCCTCTGTTTCCCAAGTTCTGGGATTAAAGAGCATGTGCCACCACCCCCTAGTGACAGTGAAATCTTGATATTTAATTGTAAGAATGATTCTAGATGTTGCAATGTGAGGCTTTACAGTGGTATAAGCCACCTTTGAGGTCCTTGTGGCTTCAATTTGTGCTGCTTAAGCTTATTAGGTGAGAGTATGAGGACTTGGTTCTAACACTGGTGTCTTGGTTAGGGTTTCTATTGCCCTAGGGACACCATGGCCATGGCAACCTTATAAGGAAAATGTTTAATTGAGGGGGCTCACTTACAGCTTCAGGGGTTCAGTTCATTATCATCATGGCAGGGAGCATGGTGGCATGCTGGCAGACATGGTACCGGAGAAGTAGCTGAGAGTCCTACATCTTTCAGGCAGCAGGAAATCTACTGAGACACTGGGCAGTGTCCTGAGCATGGGAAACCTCAAAGCCCACCCCGAGTGACACACTTCCTCCAACAAGGCTATACCCACTGCAATAAAGCCACATCTAATAGTTTCCCTACCTATGAGATTATGTGGGCCAATAACATTCAAACTACCACAACTGGTATCATGCTTATTTTGCAATTTATTAAGATGGGACATGGATTTTAAAACTGTGTTTATTATCTAAGAAGTCCTTATTATTACTTATTTTACATTTTTTGGACTAACTATATTTCTTTGGAAACACAAAACCTGGAGTTGGGCCTGGAGTTGCTTCCCTTTGCATGCAGAGGAAGCTGGCTGTAGATGATCAGTACTGGAGAGTTCTGGAGTTAACTGAGAGACCCTCCCTCAATGAATCACGTGGAGAGCAATCATGGAAGACTCTTGACATCAACTTCGGGCTCCCAGATACTTGTGCACATGCATATACACGTATGCATTTTATATTCACATATAACATATATATATATATATATCATACTTTGCAAAAAAGTACAAATAGGTGTTAGGAAAAATTACAGGTCCTACATAATGAATTACAGGACATCCAGGTATACATAAAGAGACTCTATCTCAAAACAAACAAACAAACCAAAAATAAGAGGGGGAGAGGGAGGAAGGAGAGAGAGAGAGAGAGAGAGAGTGCAATGCAATAAAAGCTGATCTACGGGAGGACAGTGGTGGATGTAGAATCGGATGTATATGCTAGAAGAGATGCAACATCTAAAAGTCATCATCCAAACATCTACCTGGGAAGTCAGAGACTTCATGAAAATCTGAAAGTCATCATCCAAACATCTACCTGGGAAGTCAGAGACTTCATGAAAATCTGAAAGTCATCATCCAAACATCTACCTGGGAAGTCAGAGACTTCATGAAAATCTGAAAGTCATCATCCAAACATCTATCTGGGAAGTCAGAGACTTCATGAAAGTCTGGTAAGACACAAGTAAAATCAGAGCATCAAGCAAGAAAATAGCAAATCAATAAGCAGAATCAACACACCCACAGATATTCCTTTAAAAAGATCAGCAACGTTAATAAGCCTCTAGAATCTAGACAAATTAAGGAAGGCAATACAGACACAAATCACTGATGTTCAGAAATGAAGGAAGGATCATCACAATGGAGTCCATGGGATTAAAAGGAGAATCAAGGGCGCTGTAGGGTCTCTGTCCACAGCTTGGCAAGCTAGACAAAGGGCTTTGGTGGGATCCCCGAAAGGGTTCACCTGTTAGGAGCTGAATTCATCAGTGTGAGTGAGCATAAGGGAGCAGGGGGCCTCATGGGAGGCATTGGAGTCATGGGCGTGGAGCCCTCAGAGCAGGTTCAGGGTGCTTTTCTCATGGGATGGGCTAGCAGCCATAGGACTTTGGCCTCGTGTGTGTGTGTGTGTGTGTGTGTGTGTGTGCATGCACATCTATGTATTGTGTACACACACACATGTATGTATTGTGCTCTCCCTTTCTCTCTCTCTCTGTCTCTCTCTGTCTCTCTGTCTCTGTCTCTGTCTCTCTCTCTCCCTCTCTCCTCCTCTCCTCATACACTTTGCTATCCCCATCTCTCTCATGGTGATTTCCCTCACCAGAAGCTGAGAAGATGTTTCTGCACTTTCTTTTCTTTTTTTAAACTTTCTTTTTATTTATCCTTTATGTCTTCCACACCATACATCTGGGTCCCATTCATTTCCCTGTCCCCTTGTATCTGCCCTCTGTCCTTAGCAACCTCCCCGCCCTCACCAAATAAAAAAGTTTAAGAGAGAAAAAAAAAGAAAAGGGGGAAAATCTCACCATGGAAGCTATAGTGTGACGATGCAGCAAACCTTTTTTTTTTCCGTATTTTTTTTTTTTTTTGCAAGTGTTCATTGCGCAGTCATTGGTCTGTTTGGGTCCTCTGGCTTCTGCTGCACTATAGATGCTGGACCCTCACTGGGACCCTGGAGATTCTGCAGCTTTGGGTCTGCAGGACCGGCCCCTTCACATGCAGGGGATCTTAGATGGGGTGGATGTTGGGGGTGTGGCCGACTCACAGTCCTGCTTCAGGGCGCGGGCAGCTGCAGGGTTGGTCAGCCGGCCAGCTCTCCCCTGTCCTCACCACCAGGGTGCGCTCTCCAGCACGGCCCTAGCTAGTTCATCCCCTGTGGCGACGAGCAAGGGGCGGGGCCAGTTCTCCGGCTTTCAGGCCCTCAGGGTCGGCTCTCCACACCTGCAGTATCAGGGACAGCTGTGCTGTGCTGTCCGGGGGAGGGGCAGGACCTGCGTTCCCCAGCGCCGCAGCTGGGGAGGGGGAGGGGTCACGGGTGGCAAGGGCGAGGAGGGGGGGAGCCTCTGTCCCTCGCCCTCTCCACCCCACGGCAGATGAGGCGGGTGTGGCCAGCTACCCCACCCTCACGCACTCAGGACCAGCTCACCTGCTCCTCCGCCAGGAGGGGCTGCTCGACGGTATTACACAGGCAAAGGGCAGGGGCGATTCCTTGAGTTCTATAGCTGCTAAGGGGGAGAATCGGCTCCCTTGTCTGTCACAGGCAGCAGGGGTAAGGGGGGACATCTCTCCCCACCCAGCGGCAGCCCATGCCCAGTCATCACCATGGCCCTGGCTGGCGATCAAGTCATCCATCTCGACCTGCTCGGCTCCGCACTGCTTTCATCTCTGCCTGTCTGTCTGTCTGTTTGTCGCTCTCCCCCCCCTCTCCCTCTCTCTCTCTCTCTCTCCAATGTCACACCATACATTTGGTCACCATAATATTGCCTGTCTGCCATTGCTGCACGGTGCCAGGTGGGCCCGTGTTTTCTCCTTGGAGCCCAGGTGGACCTCCCCAGGCCTGTGTCAGTGTCTCCCTGTCCGGCTCCATCCATCATGGCACTGGGCAGGACCATGCTTCCTCATCACAAAGAGGTCATGATAGTGCCCAACTGCCCCGTGCCAGATGGCTCCTGGTTGGTGCGGGGTGTTGCTGGAGTCCCCTTGAGGCTGGGACTGGAAACCCCGGGCTGCCAGGGTTGAGTCCTGCCCACCTCAGCTGTATTGCGTGGGGCAGAGTTGCTGCCGTTTCTGGACTTTGTTGGCTTCCAAACCATGAGGCAAAACAAACCCCTGTCCTTTGTGAGTTACTCAGTTTCAGGCATGTTCCGTTGCAGCAACAGAAAAGGAATGGAGAACGCTAGAAGCAAGCAGTAGAGCATTGCTATCCAACACGTGAGTACGTGGAAGCCGTGGTCACACTGAGTAATGGGCCCAGGCTGCAGCAGGGTTGGAGTGAGCGCTAGGAAAGGGGTCGGTTGTCCTGTGTGGAACACTCAGGGCAACTCTGGGGATAGCTCAGGAAGACACGAGACTAGGACAGGACGGGAGTAAAATGGTTGTGGCCATAATGCTGGCAGCAGGGAAGCGAAGACTGTGGGTAGAGACGAGGTCGTCTTTCCGGGACGTGGGGTGAAAGTCATCCTACTACACAGCAGCGAGGCTGTGTGTGCTCTTCCTCTGCCCTTTGGAGACTAGGGCGACAACAAGGTGTGTCTGGAAAAAGACCCGCCTATTCTGCAGATCTCCCAGACACTCCCTGGTGGGGCTCCCTAATCACGGAAAGCAGCGGCTAAGGGTGGCCAGTGCTGGGAGCCATAGTTAAGAGGGAAACAGCGCTGAAGCTGGGGAAATTAGTGGCCAGGTCTTGAGAGAGTCAAAGAGCATGGTCAACAGAGATTGGGAAGTGTGTGGCCAAGCTGCTGTTTGTGAGGGAGGCCAGGGCAAGCACAGAGGAGGCGGGTCCTACCCAGCAGAGCAGGGGGAAAGGCCACCCAGCATTTTCAGAGTCTTTGAGTCTGCTTCTTTCGTCTAAGACCCAGAGCCCTAGAAGGGGTGAATGGTTCCAGGAGGACTACCTGGGGGACCCTCCGTGGCCTTTTCACTTCCAGTGGCCCAAGGACAAGGATTCTGCTCCTCACATCACAGCTTGGGTCTGCTCAGCCACAACCAGCTTTTTTTTTTGTTTTTTTGTTTTTTTGTTTTTACGAGACAGGGTTTCTCTGTATTGTTTTGGAGGCTGTCGGTGCAGCCTGGCCTCGAACTCACAGAGATCCACCTGCCTCTGCCTCCCGAGTGCTGGGATTAAAGTCGTGCACCACCACCGCCGGCTGCCACAACCAGCTTTGGCTCAAGTGTATGCAGGTATGGCTCCGGTCACACATCCAAAGGCCCCAGTCAACAAAGCCGGGCAGCGTGCTGTGCCTCAAGTGGGCTCAGATGTTCCTTCCACGTTGTCGCTGAGGACACAATAAGCAAATTCTGGAGGCACGAACTCAGATGAACAGAGAGCAGGGGCTGTGAAGGTGTGGAACCCTCCAACTAAACACCGAAAGATGCACTGGACCTTCTGGGGGCTACAGTGGG